TCTTCCAGTTCGCAAGAGTAAGGTAGTTGGTTCAGTTCTCAGGTAGAGCAGTTGGACTTCCTTCTTTAGCTGAGGTCAGAGTTTTAAGGTTCATTCTTTCGGAGGTATAAGCGATATATGCCAAGATGGTGCTTGGATGGTAGCTTTAGGTGGCAGTCGTCGGTATGGGCTGACACTTCAGTCTTAATCGGAATTTAGGAAGTTCAAGTAGGATCGACTAGCATGGCATAGGAAGTGGTAAGGAATGATTTCGAGGACAAAATCTAATTTAAGTGGGGGAAACTTGTAATACTCTGTTTCGAATCATTTCATAATTCGGGGACATGACCCAAAGATCAGTTATCATAAGGCTTCGGGCCTTGGGGGAGAGATAGGTTTAGGCCCTTTTGGAAGTGGGTAATGTAGATTAGGTGATCTGAGAGTTTGGTTGGTGCTTTGGAGTCCATAGGTATAACCATAAAGTGATAGTTCGGGCATTTTATGAATTTTGGATTTAAGTTCGGAAAGTTTTAAGGCCAATGAGAGTTCATAGGATTGTAGAGCTTCTCACTACCTTTCTGTGGATTTAAAGATCGTCGAAAACGGAGTTGGAATAAAGAAGTTATGACCGTTTGAAGTTAGGACAGTTTTGGGGTTTAGTCTAGTACGCTGCACGTACCTGGAGTAGATTGGGCGTACTAGTCATACATCGAGTATGCTGGGCGTACCTAGAGTACGCTGGCGTACTTGGCCTTCATGGATTATGTTGGGCTTACACGATCAGTGCCCAAACCCTAGCCCTATTTAAGTTCCTTAACTTCCCCAAACCCATTCCATTCTTAGCCTCCACCTCTTCAAAACCCTTCCTCGAAACCCTAACCCTAGTTTGAGCCTTGTGAGCAAAAAGTAGGTTTGTTTAAGTGATTTCGAGTGTTTTTGGTGCGTCTTGGAGAAGAATGAGCTCATTGGAGAAGTGTTGGTTGCATTGGATCTTGTAGATATAGATTTTGTTCACCTTTATCTTTCTTCTAGAGGTATAAAGTTTGAATCTTGATGATGCATTTGATAGATCTAGCTGCTCTTGGGTGTTATGAGCTTTTGATCACTATAGTGCATAAAGTTTAGATCTTGAAAGTTTGTGACCTTGTTATGGATAAAGTTGGAAACTTTATCCATCTAAACATTATATTAATTCAGATCAAAAAGCTTCAGACTTAGAATTATTGGATTAAGTTGGAAAAGATGCACTTTTGGTCCCTTTGAGACTTAAAGACTAGATCTTGGTTGGTTGGACCATTCAAATGGATAAAGTTGGAAACTTTATCCATTTTGGAGTTATTAGGAATCACAAAATATCATCTTGATGGGTTTTGATGAATCATGCTTAAGTTGATGTTCATATTATAGGTTTAGATGGATAAAATCGGGTTTTGGGTCCCATTAATACATGAAAAATCATAAAGTTTGCAACTTTATGGCTTAATACGCTTTAATAAGCTTAGATCTAAAATTAGATGTTGGGTCTTAATCGATTAAGACCTTAGAAAATAGACTTTAGCCAGGTGCAGCGTACGCCAGGCGTAACTAGGCATACGACGCACATATACTCAACAAGTCCAATGGGTGAAAAGGTCGTAAGTACGTCAGGCGTACTAGAAGTACGTTGTGCGTACTCACCAGAACGTAGATTGGGATTTATTTCGGGTAGTTTTGGGGTTTAAGGACCTTGGGCCTTTGTTGGGCCGTGAGTTTTTTCTATGATGGACTTTTAGACTTAGACCCATTTCTAACTTGGCATATCTATTGGGCCTTGCGCCTAATTGTATGTGGGCTTCGGTGGCTTAGGCCCAATTAGACAAGGATTAAGTGACTTTTTCCCTAAAAGCTAGGATTTAGGGTTTGCACTCTCGGGTTAGACTACTGACCTAATTTCTAATTAGGATTTTTGTACTTGTTATCTAGTGAGAGAATTTCATGAGTTAGCAGCCTGAGTGTGAGTTGATATCCTGAGTCTGGGGTGAGTCGAAGGCACCAATATCGTCCCACTAGTTTATGATGTAGTGTGATGAGTGTCTTTGTGAAAATTTTCAGTTATGCCTATATTTACTTGATGACTCTATGATTCTTTTGTCATGATATTATGTGGTAGTGGTAGGGGTGAAATTGACCCAATACCGATTGAAATAGACCGAAGGGGATTGCAAGCAACCAGATATGCTTGATTGTATCCGGTTGAAATAAACTGAAGGTGATTGCAAGAACCCAGTTATGCTTGATTGTATCTGGTTGAAATAGACCGAAGGGGATTGCAAGCACCTAGATATGCTTGACTGTATCCGGTTGAAATAGACCGAAGGGGATTGCAAGCACCCAAATATGCTTGAGTGTATGTTTGTATGATATGGGATATTTTGGGGGAACTCACTAAGCTTTGTGCTTACGTTTTCCTGTATATTTTTCATGTAATTCTAGCTCGAAAGGGAAGGTCCATGCTTGACCGCACTACATCCACCTATGATTTTCCGCATCATGTGATTTTGGGATTTTGTACTGTAATAATATATTATTATGAGATACTATCAATTGTTTTTATATAATTACTGTATGATTGAAATTAATTTAAAAGTGAAAATTTTATTTGAATTTTTGGGATATTTCACACGATATATTGTGTACAAAGATCAATTGTATCTAAATGGATACTATACTCCATGGTTGAAGTGCATTACGAAAAAAGAAGAAGAACTCGTCATAGCAGAAATACACATAGGGATATGTGGAGCACACTAAGGATCAAGAGGAATTACCTAGAAGATACTTCGTATGGCGTGCTTCTGGCTATCGATGACCACCGTTATGAATGCTTTCATCCAAAAGCGCCACAGCTGTCAAATACACTCGAACATCCCGACACTCCCACCAACAGTTTTGACAAACATTACTAGTCCTTAGCCATTTTTTCAATGGGGAATTAATATCGTTGGACCCTTCCCAGAAGCACCAAGAAGAGTAAAATTGTTGATAGTAGTCGTAGATTACTTTACCAAATGGGTCGAGGCGGAAGCATTGGTAGTAATATATGGTAAAACTGTGGCAAAGTTTGTAGGGAAACAAATAGTCTGTCGATTTGGTCTACCAAACACGATTATCAGTGGTAATGGGAAACAATTAGGAGAGAATCCCTTTACCAAATGGTGTTCAGAAATAGGAATCAAACATAATTTCACCCTAGAAGCCTCAGATAAATAGTCAAGTGGAGGTTACCAACAGGACTCTAGTCAAAGGAATAAAGAGGTGATTGGGGCAAGGCAAGGGAAATTGGGTCGATGAACTACAAAGTGTGTTGCGAGCTTACCAAACGACAGTAAGGAAACTAAACAAGGAAACTCCACTTAGTTTGGTATATGGAAAATAAGCATTCATTACCATAGAAACAACGGTAAAGAGTACCCAAACCAAAACTTCCCAAGAAAGTGCGAACGATGCAAACTTGCGTGAAAATCTAGACATGTTGGAGGAGAGAAGGGACAATGTTGCCATAAGACAAGCTGCTTAAAAATAGTGACGGAGAGCTACTATAATGCTAAGGTCTAAGGAGCAACATGCAAAGTAGGGGATCTGGTTCTAGAGAAGAATAAGGCAAGTAGGCAGGAACACATCGGGAAGCTAAGTCCAAATTGGAAAGGACAGTATCGAGTCATGGAGGCTAGGAGCAACGGTTCATCTGTGCTGGAAAACATGGAGGGAGTTCAGTTACCGAGAACATTGAACATGCGAAACCTTCGTAAATTCCATTTCCAAGTTAGCATCAGCCTATGTCACTTATGATTGTCGATCGAAGATATGTACCAATAGTATTAAGGCGATAATCATATTTTTTACTGCAACTAATTACGACTTTGAATACAATATTTCAATTTTTGATTGATAGGCAATTGACTATAATAATTTTTTCTTTCCTTTCAAAAAAAATATATGTAAAAAAAGAAAAAAGAACCATAAATCCTTAGTAGTTTATGGTTCGGTCACCATCGTTCGTCAAACTATGGTTCAACCCACTCTTTTATACAGAACCATAAAGACTTAGTAGCTTATGGTTCAGTCACCATAGTTCGTCAAACTATGGTTCGACACTTTCTTTTATAACAGAACCGTAAAAGACTTAGTAGCCTATGGTTCGGTCACCATAGTTCGTCAAACTATGGTTTGACCCTCTCTTTTATGAAAAAACCATAAAGCCTTAGCAGTTTGTGGTTCGATCACCATAGTTCGTCAAACTATGGGTAACAGAACCATAAAGCCTTAGTAGTTTATGGTTCAGTTACCATATTTCGTCAAACTATGGTTCGACCCTTTCTTTTATAACTGAACCATAAATCCTTAGTATTTTATGGTTTGGTCACCATTGTTCGTCAAACTATGGTTTGACCCTCTCTTTTATAACAGAACCATAAAGCCTTATCAGATTATGGTTCAGTGACCATAGTTCGTCAAACAATGTTTCGACCCTCTCTTTTATAAAAAAAACCATAAAGCCTTAGTAGCTTATGGTTCGGTCACCATAGTTCGTCAAGCTATGGTTCGACCCTTTCTTTTATAACAGAACCATAAAGCCTTCACAACTTATGGTTCGATCACCATAGTTCGTTAAACTATGGATTAACCCTTTTTTTATAACAATACCAATCGTCATTACGTTTGTCAAGACATAATAAAAAAGGAAAAGAGGGTCTAAAGGTAGTAAACTATAACTAAAACTAGGTACTAGAGCTCGCACCATCCCGCTTCACAATGGGGTCTAAACCTGCCAACTCTTTCTTCAACGTGTCAACGTCAACCTTTTCTCTTTTCAAAATATCAAACAACGAGTACTTGTGAGTAATCATATATGAAAAAAGGTCAAGGATGTGATGTTGAGCATCAGGGTAGGAGTAGAGAACATTTTTGGAATCCAGTGCTTCAACATACTTCTCTTTCATCTCCAAAAATGAATGACGATGCCCTAGCTGGATGACGGCAGTCTAGAGAGCGGCATTGACATCCCCAAAATCAGCAGAATTCATGACTGCTCGGAGAAATGAAGGGATGCCCTCCTTCATCAACCATTGAAAATCAGAATCCTTTTGATCAGACAATGTCTGTTTTTGTTGCTCTTTCCCTTCAACTAAAGCGCGAAACTCATTCAAAAATGCAAGTTGAACATCCTTCTCAACAATCATAGTCTTGAAGCTAAACAACTCATCTTCAATTAATATGATACAGACATATTTACCCTAGTAAGCAATCTCTAGCTGATAAACTTTTTGGGTGTACTGAAGCTTCATAGAATCAAATTGTTGAGAGTTTTCCACGAGTTCCTTGCTCAGTTTCGAGTGTTGAGTAATTGCATCATTTGCTCGAAGTTGAAGGTGTTGGTTCAAGTTAGATAATTCCTCTTGACGATGAAGACTTTCGCTCAAATCCTTCACTAACTCTTGATTTCTTTATGACAATCTTGACACCTCTGTCTGTAACCACTGAGCTTCTCCTTCCACTTGTTCATGAATTTCTTGCAACTTCTTCATAGCATGGAAACATTCCTCAAATATTAACTATTCAGAAGCAAGAATCCGTGCACGAGTCCAGGTATGGGCATAAACTTCATTTAGCAAGTCCATCCCTTCCATCAAGCACGAATGAGCCTTGTCAAGGCTCTCTTCATCTGACACGGTCGCAATTTCAGGACTCGCAGGCATGGAAGTCTTAGTAAAAGGACATTGGAAATTGGGAAGTGACGCAACAAGATATACAAGGGTAGGGATAGTAAGATCCTTCTAGGAAGATGGCAGAACTAAAACACATACAACAAACCTCCTAATAAAGAAATACATAACAAGATATGTATGAAATCAGAAAATAGTAAAATAAACATACCAATTTGCTACGAAGTATTTGGTGAAATCGTAGCAACAACCTCCAGTGAAGCATCATTCGTAGAATGAAGGTTCATATAAGACGTTTCCATAGAAATCAAGTACGAACCTGAATGAAGACCCGAACCAACCAAGGGAGGATTCACAGTGATAACCGTTGATTCCACACCAGAAATTTTAAATAGATTAACACCAGTACCAAAAAGATTCTATTGAAAGATATTTGCAACAGTCAGAGTAGGAAAGGTTTGATCATTACATAACACAATAACAGACTCTAGAATTTTCTGGCTTTATGAAGCCGAAAGTGTAGAAGCATCAGGACTTAAAAACTCAACCTTAGAATAAGGAATATTTTCTTCGGTCTGCCTCAAGTCAGGATCAGTAACCACTGGGCACTCATAAAGAGCAATTATAGTAGTCTCTTTCGATGAGAATTCCTCAGAAGAAGAATGACCACCAGATGATGGTTGTCCACCTAATTTTGATTCATTCCCACGAGTGGTTCTCTTGCGCTTCAGTGAGGATAAGTCAATTACCTTTTCAGGAAGATTCATAACTCCCTCAAGAGAAACAACCCTTTCCCCATTCACTTTTCTCTTCGATGTTAAAGCAGCCTTGATAGATGATCGAGGAAACTTCCTATTGTCTGATTCCGTTTTCGCAACACTTTTCGAAGGGGAAGGAATAAGCAGAAAACTCATACCTTGACCAGTAACGTTGATTGTAGAATCCATACTCAATTCTGATTGAGAAAGGGAATTAGGGATGTCAACTTCCTTGGTAACCAAAGCAGAGCCCGCCAAGTGTTTGCGGTGCTACCGCTCTAACAAAGTAACTTCATGACCTGCAAGGTGTTAGGCGTGTCAAACCCAACAAATAATAGGGGTACAACAGACTCCAAATACACTGCTTTAATGCACTAAAAAGGTAGTACAAGGCAAGCAGGGTCGAACCACAAAGACACGGGATAAAAGTCTATACCTCTTTGTGCAAGGTACTTTGGTCACAAAGGAGGATTTGTTTGCAAAAGTCAAATAATGAAAATAACAATCAACTTTGAAACATGCAGAAAATGAAATAGATTTGTAAACACGTTGTAAAAATGCTTCTAGTTCTAGTTCTCAATGTTGTCATTTAACCTGATTATGACTTGATGTAATTTGTGATTACTATTCTAAGTTGCTACTGAAAGATATTAACACGCTCTAATACCTCTCGCTTGCCAAATTACCTAACCAAAACACGCTCTTTGACTAGACCTAGCTTTTGCTAATTCAACCTAAACACGCTCTTAGATTGTATTGAAAAACTGCATTAAGTTTTGTACAAGCTTCCCAACAATGTTCATTTCTTCTCATACGCTCGGAAGTGTGAAGACATGTGATAAATGTTCTACAATAAGAAAACCTATTGTTTCTTACCAACCATTAACTTTATAGAACGATTAGGTGCCCTAAAAGTTAATTAATTACACAAAAATTCAATTCATGAAAGTGGCCAATCAAACACAAATCAAATTTAAGGATTCTAGTTTAAACAAGAACATAATCACTAGAATAGAATCACAAATCAAACATTAAATCATATGCTTCAAGTCAAGCAATCAACATGTTTTGAACAAGAACTAGAAACTAGGGTTTCTTAGCCACACATGGCTAGAAAAAGATCACAAGGATAAAAGATGGAAATAATGGGCAATTACAACTTACAAATACTAAAAATAATGTTTCCAAATGATTACTGATCAATCCCTTGCAATAACCTTCGAAACCCCCTCTAAAAATGTGCTCTGATATGTTCTGTCTATCTCAAAATAGCCCTCAACCTGTAATATGAAAGATAGGAAAAACTGCCAAAAGTTGGTTTTTGGGTCGAACACGGCTCGTGTTAAAATAGGCTAAACTGACACGGCCTGTGTTCTGCAGCCAACACGGCCCGTGTTGATTTGCACTAAACTGATACGGCCCGTGTTCAGCATGGTCAACAGCTCCCATTTTGGTTAACACGGCCCGTGTTGATTTTGCAGTGTAAATCCAACACGGCCCGTATACCCCTCTGACTCTGAATCCAAACTTGATTTTTCCAACTTTTTCGTTCTTCGCCCGATCATCCTGAAATCTTCACCCATGCTTCCCGACACCTCCCAAAGCGAATTCTAACCTCCGGTTTACCTGAAAAGAACATGAAAGTTATGCAAATAAGGTTGTTCTAGAGACTAACATGAATATGATGAAATGCAATAAAAATGAAGAATAACTATGCTAAATAGATGCATAAAAATGGACTAAAAGGTGTGCTAAAAGGTGAACAAAATGCACGTAACACAAGGTTTTCATTTGGTTTCTTTCCCAATTTATTCCAGTAAGAACTCATACCTGCCATGTCAAGGGTTATTTTATCGACATCAGTCCACTTCAATTAATTCTATGATAGAAGGTCTATAGTACATTGCTCTTCGGGAGTGATATGAAGATGAAGATGATAATAATCAAGGACTACCTCAAAGAAATCAAAAACTAGGAGACGCACCCGGAGATAAAAAGTACTCGATATACACCAACGAAGCCTTCTGGAGCGTCATTGGTGGTGGTCATTAGTTCCGGAAAACAAGGGCGAAACACAGGATCGATGTGATACTTCTGAACAATATCAATAAGAGTTTTTCTGAGAAAGCCTAGATTTTATGGTACGAATATTCAACACGTCTTTGTTAGCCATACTGAATCGATACAAAGAAGATAGAGTAAAACAAGAAGAAGAAAGTTGTAGAAAGTGATTAAAATAACCAGAAAGAAGAGGTTACTTATAAAGATGTCAAGAGGAATTCGTTCACATGAGTAGACGAACGCCTCGTTCCCGAGTTTAACAAAAGAAAAGAAGAGAAGAGAAAGGAAAGTCATGAGAGAAAAGAAGAGAAAGGAAAGGAAAACAATTTTTTTTTGTGTTCCGAGTTGGAGAGAAGTGGGAGGAAAATGAATCATTTTGTTCTTTCTTTCCAAATCCTCCCAAATCGGAAGGAAAGTTAGGAGGAAAAGTGATCCTCCCATTTCCCTCCACTTCCTTCCATTTCTCTCCTTTAATGAAACTCGGGAACACCAATTTCTTTTATTTTCTTCTCATTTCCACCCATTTCCTTTCCTTTCTCTTGTTAAGTTGAACTTGGGAACGGGGTGGAAAGGGCCATTAAAAATAGGTAATGATTAAACCTACAAGTCGTTGAACCCTCACGTCAACGTTTAATCCCTCAATGGTTACTTTAACAAAAAGTTTGAATTGTCACTCTAAGTGAAACGTAGCAATCCAAACTGGGGGGACATAATCAGATATAATCTAGCTCGATCTACATATATCTCCCTTACCTACCAAACCACTCACATACTGGACCAAGTATATACCATAGCAAGTATATATCGGACCAAGTATATACTGGACCAAGTATATACCGTACCATGTGTATACCGAACCAGCCCTATGCCGAACCATGTGAAATAATGAACAAAGTATTAGAACACGTCATAACTATGTAACAATGCATAGGAAATCATAGATAAAACATGTATAAAGATGTTTGATTGATGGGTCCTTAAACCAACGAACCACATCAATAAAAACGGCTAGCAAGTACATGCGACTGTACCTTCGGGGGTACGGCCATTAATGTGACATGATGGCAAACCTGATCGGTGTAGGAAAAGGATATGACCCCTCAATATTAGCTATAAATATAGGACAAAGAACACTCCAAGGTACGCACATTTGCTTGGATTACTTCTCAATCGATCTTACCTTAATTACTTTCGTTCCCTCACTGTTCCATAAATCTCCTTTATCGTAAAGAAACCCCATTTGCTAACTTTATCATCAGAGTGTTGGCCTAAGATCACATCCTGGTCAACCGGCTTACGAGCTTTTGTTTGTTGTCTCTAGGTTGTCCATTTCGATAAGGGAACAACGATCCTTGTAACATATGGAAGGTGAACCCGGAGGTACATCACTCATAATCCTCATAAATGCTCTTAACGTAATATAAAAAGTACTCATTTTTGCATCCTTTCGAATATACCCTTTAAAAATTCCCTAACCTCAAACTTTGTTTGCCAAGTTCCCAAGCTCATAGACTCAATTTGAAAAGAAAAATAACAAAAAAGTACAAAATTTTACTTTGCAAGATATGGAAAACAGTGGCTTGTTTTTTACTTGCATAGTTTTTAACTTCACTTCATAAGTTTTTTTCTTCTTTTTAGTTCTTTAAACTTTTGACGAACTATTGTGGTTTTTTTATTTATTGACTCTTTACTTGACTTTTCCACAACCCTTTTTGTACCTTTTTCACAATTATATATATATATATATATATATATATATATATATATATATATATATATATATACTTTTTTATTTTCTCTTTTTCATAACTAGCTCTTAATATTAAATAAATACTAATTTTTGGAAACATAACTTCAACATTTATTGGCTAGCGATATATTCTAATGATTAATGTCTAATGATAATTTTCAAAAATTTATTTCAGCAAACAATGAAAAACATATTGTATCCCTCAAACTACACAAGTTCACATTTGTGGCTGATGATTTCTCTAAAATCAGAAAACCACAAATATTATACAACATATTATATGGATGAAACCTTAGGATTTGTTTCAAATTATTCTATATAGCACTAATAAACTCCATTTTCATGAAAATTTATTAAATAAAAAAATTAATTTAGACCAAAATTTCATCTTGCGTGCATTTTCCTATTTTGAATCCCAACCCCACACTTGTGACATACAATGCCCTGATTATATGCATAAAACTATTAAAGCACATAAAAGTTTAAGGTATACAGCTAATAGACTCTCCTTTGGATAGTAGTGGTGGTATCGAAAGATTGATGGCAAGAAACTTGTTACGATGACTGAATCTTATGACTGAAATTTTTGGAAAACATAACATCATTGCTAAATATCAGAAACTTATCATTAAAAATATGGAAGATACTTGCTCGTTGAAATGTCAAAGTAATTTGTCCGGTTCACTTACACTATACGTATATCTATTGTATGCGACCGTTTGCTAAAAGTGTAGGAACTTTAATTGCGAAAAAAGCATCTTCCTGAAGTACAATGAGAACTGGCGTATCACAGTCTTCATATGTCGGGAAGTAGTGGCGTCGGAATTGATGGAGGTGTCATAAATGTTAGTGCACCACATGTGTTGCAGCAATAGCTCAAAAAAGTCTTGGTATCGCTCAATGTCAAATGTGCACCACATACTTATTTTTCGTCACACATTTTTCCTTCTTCCGAAAAAATAATGACCCCTCTTGTGCATCTTGCTATGTATTACCTATATCTTGGATGAAGAGTAGTTAGCAACAAAAAAATAAGAATCACCAATAACGCTTTTATTCAAAATAAAATAAGATAAACATTAAAAATTAAAAACGAAAAACGAAAAAAATCAAACCAAACTAATTTAAAATGTTGGATTGCCTCCTATAAGCGCTTCTTTTTGTGCGAGTCTTGAGATGAACTCCCAACTTAATAAGCACTTAATAGACTCATTACCAAACCATATGTTGCATTTGATATTCATTTTGAACCAATTTTCTACAATCGACTCTTTGTTTGGCATTACGAGCTTGGACTCATGGTTTTCCAAAATATTAATAAGGACCACAGTTGGTTGGATACTAATAAAAAATGGCTGACACTTTATAACATTCTCCA